GTGTGTGTGTGTGTGTGTGTGTGTGTGTGTGTGTGTGTGCGCGCGCAGGTATCCTGGGTCCCTGAAAGAATCGCCACCTGTGCACCATGTCCTGGAAGTTTGTATTGATACTTTGAAGAGAAGCCCTGAGGATAAATGTTTCTTTGTCTCCATGTGGTTGTCATGCCATGATGCTCATTTTTGTGGACCTGTTTCTTCCTGTATGAGAGAGAGAGAGAGAGAGAGAGAGAGAGAGAGAGAGAGAGAGAGAGAGAGAGAGGGAGAGAGAGAGAGAGAGAGAGAGTCAGAGTCAGGAGAAAGCTGACTGCCTCCATGGCCGTGCCAGCTGCAGCTCTGCATCAGTCCTCATTTCTGATGAAGTGCAGACATACAGCACCTTTATAAGCCCAACTCTGCATGATGTCACCTGGAGTGTGTGAAGCAGCACTGGTGCTGGCCGCTGCGTGTGGGGGTCTGCTTCCCTGGATGTCTTTTGCAGGCTTCACAGGGACTCCAGTGACCAGAAGGTTGCACACTGGGCCCAGAGCTCAGGGTTTGGGGAGGAGGTAGTGATGGGGTGGTCCTGTTGCCATCTCAGGGTATCCTGAGGACCAGGAGCTGTGTGGTCATGTCTTTGGCCTGAGGTGGTCCAGGATGCAGGAAAGTGACCCTGAGCCCTGATCTCAGAGGCCTTTTGCCTTGTGGTAGCTTCACTTCCCCCTCAGCTGGCAAGAGAGATGGCCTCTAGCCTGAGTGACAGCCCTGGGACCTGGCACTCTTCCATCCCAGCCAGGCAGGTTGTGAGGCCATCTCTCTGCAGGCAGGGCCTTGGGTTATCCAGGACTGCTGGCGGTGACCAAACCCTTTGTGGACCACTTGTGCAGTGCCAGAGTCAATGTGTGGCCACCACGGTGTGGAGGACGCTGGGAGGGGGAGCAGGGACAGAAATCTGAGTGCCAGGTGTAGGCCTCCTGGAGCCATGCCCTGAGGCCTTCAGGAAGGGGCTGATCTTGCATCACTGCTGCCCTGGGGTTCTCAGAGCCTCTCTGTGATCCTGAAGTGTCTCCAGATGGGCTGGCTGGTAGAGAAGAAGGGCTCCCTTTTGTGACAACTTCCAGCAGCCATTTTTTTCTCCTTTGTGAGCTTGCTTCCCACCAACTGGAGCTCAGGGAGGTGATGGGGGAGGCCAGAAAAGGTTAAGGCTAGGCAGAGAGCCAGGACAGGGAACCTAGGTGATAGCAGCTCTGTGCACTGGGCGTGTGTGTGAGGCCTGAAGGTTGGGATGTCCAGGGTAGAGCTTGCTCCAGCTCTCATCACCTCCTGAACCAGGCATGCATGCATCAGTGGTACCCTGACATGGGCTCCAAACTTTTTTTTAAAAGCAATTAGTAATAATAATAATTTAAAACTAATCCTGTAATTTTGTATGTTTTATTGTATAGCTGTGCCACTGCCAGTTCGGCTGTGCCCACCTGGTGGCTGCTGTGCTATCCCTTTCCCTCTCACGGAAGCTGTTGTAATGAACAGCTTTCACATGCTTCTTCTTGTCTGAATGCAAGTACTTCCCAGCTGGGGAGTCACCTCAGTGCTCACTGTGGCCTGCAAGGTGTTTGTATTCAGGGTCAGTTTCAGAATCAGAGTGTACTCTTCTGCTGCGGAGGAGCTGGACTCCTGGGTCACCTTGTTCAGCTCTCTAGACCTGTCTGGTCCCGTCTAGGGTCTGGTCCTGTGTGCCTGTCCCTGGGAGCCTCTACTGCTCCCAGGCTTGAGCACATAGTCCTTGTTTTCTGTCACTTTATCCTGAAAGCAAAGTAGGATAAGGTAGGATGAAAGAAGTGTGCATTTGTTCAGGTGATTGGGACCAAGAGACACTTTAAGAGGGAGTGAGTTGGATGGAATTCATGTCTCACTCATGAAGCATCTAGAGTGAGGTGGGCCACTTGGGCTGGAGTGGTGGCTCTGTGCCACAAGACCACTCACTGATCCCAGTCCTTTCAAAGCGTCTCTTCCCACACTGTCAGCTGGTGTCTTTGTCTACATTGGCAAAGCTGGCTGTAGCCATTTAGGGTGGGATGGACAGCATGTCATGTCTGTGTGGACCAGGGCTGTATGAGAGGCTCACGTTGCTGCCAACCAGTGTGATCCCATGCTTACACCTGCACATAGGGAGATATCATTTCTAGGTAGGCATGCACGTACCAGGTGGGCATGCATGTACCAGCCACAGTGTCGCTGTGAAGTCAGGGGAGAGTGCCAAGATTTGGGTGACAGCTGGTCTGCAGCTAAGGACAAAGCCCTTGCTGATCATTGCAGTAGCTGATGGGCAGAGCCAGTGTGGTCACTGTGTCCTCACAGCCTGGTGCGGACTGGGGGCTCAGGACATCCATGGGACAGCAGAGTAAAGATAGATAGATGGACCTGGGCATGGAGAAGGTTCGTCCTTGGAGGCAGGGAGGCAATGACTCACAGGATCTTGCTTTTGTTTCCTCTATAGCCTGTGAACACCTTGGGGCTGACGGGCGGCTGCTGGGACGGGAGGCCAGTTCTGCTGGCTGAGAAGGACCATGGCTGACACCCTGCAGGTCCCCCTGGCTGCTCTCCTGCTGCTGCCTGTGGTAAGGGCCCAGGACCTTTCCATCCACATCTCTTCGGGAGCCCAGCCTCATCTAGCCACCATCTCTGAGAACTAGGGCCTTTCACTGAGCCACTCTGGGGCCGGCAGCCCCATGCGACCACCCAGTGCCGCCTTGCCAAATAGAGATGCTCCCCTTTCTCTTGACTGATTGGACAGCAAATTCTAATAAAATTCCTTCCCTCCGTCCTTCCCTTCTTTCCCCCTTCCCTCCTTCTTTTCCTTCTTTCCTCTTTCCTGGTCTTTCTCTTCTATTTCAGATGGAATCCAGGGCCTTCCCACTGTGCTACATCCCCAGCTCTTTTACCATTTTTATTTTATTTTTATATTGATGCAGGGTCCTGCTCAGTAGAGATCTAGAGGGCTGGGATTACAGGCGTGCACCACCAAACCTGGCTCACATCTTTAAATCTGTTTCGGTGGTGACGTGTGGCAGCTTGTAGAGTTGTACAGTAGATAACCTGCTCAGCGGTGTGCAAAGACTTAGGGCTGATCTTCTAGTCCTCTCAGCCTGTGAGTCTCTGTCATATCTGAACTCTGAACTTTGCCTACTGCTCATGTCTTCCCCGAGCAAGGGTAAGGATAAGGAGGGGAAGAAGAGATTTCCAGGACTGCCCCACCACTCCCTCTGGAAGTTCGGACTGGCAGTCGGTGAGGCTGTGTTCAGAATCCTGGGTACCAGTCCTGCCTGTGTCCCTCCTACCTGTGTGACAGATGAGTCCATCCCTCTTCGGAGAGCTGCCTGCAAAGCTGTGAGCAGCTGGGATTGGATGGATCCTGAACATGGCCCACGACAGCTCAGATGCCTTATGACTGCCTCATACTCACTGATGGTCCCCTAGGGAACCATCCCTGCTCTGGGGATTTGAATTAAAGTGACAGCATCTGTAGGCAGCTGTCATGATGGTAAGGCACTGCTATGAAGTCACTTGGTCTTGAGCTAGAATCTTTGTGTGCCACTAACTGGCTGTGTGACTTTGGGCTGCAGTTTCTTCTTTGAGCCTCAGTTTCCCCTTCTGTAAATGAGAGTGGCCTCACTGAAGGCCAGCCCTACTCCTTCACCTGCCACAGCTAGGGGTGCACCTTCTTCCTAGCTGAACCCCCAGAGGGGAGAGACAATGGTGTCCACAGCCCCTGCCCCTAGTGCTTGTTTGTTCCTGTAGAGCCTAGGTTCCAAGCCTGGCTGTACAGTCTGCTGAGTAAGGTGACTTTCAGCAAGTTACTTAAAGTTGCTGTACTTGTTTCCATGTCTGTAAAAATGGAAAATGATAATGAATAGTATCCACAGTATTCTTGAGAAATATACATATATAAGCACACACATGTATGACATTCAGAATAATGTCTGCATCTAGCAAAGAGCTATATATGTTTGTTGATATTATTATCAGTTGTGAAAACAGAGGCCTGGGGAGGGAATGGAATTTTCCAAGAGTATTCATTGAGTTGGGGATGGACGAGAGTCCTCGTGTTATCTATGACGCCAAGCTGTGAGCTGTCCCTGGTATCTCTCTGTCACTGTCCTCTTCTTCTTTCTGTCCCAAGCCCCTTCCCTCTACCATGGTAGAGCTGAGGCAGGAGGACCTCCCGTGGGCCTCCTGGCCTCCTCCCACCATCCACCCCATATATCCCTTGCAGGTTGCTGCCATGCACTCCGACTGCATCTTTAAGAAAGAGCAAGCCTTGTGCCTGAAGAAGATCCAGAGCGCCTATGACCTTCTGGGCTTGAACGATTCCTCTCTGGGTGAGTGGAGTGGCAGGGAGAGCATGGTGTCCCCGGCACTTTCAAGTCATTCTTTAGAAGCAGTTTCCTCACCTCCAGTTCACAGTTCTCTGGGGCTTTTGCAAACCCTTCGGGGGTGCTATCCTGCAACCTCTCTGGGCAGTGAAGCCAGGGTTGCCCTGCTTGGGACCAGTTTGCCCTGGTGGCTCAGGGCCACCTTCTCTCCTGTAGGGTCCTGGATAAAGCTGGTGCCTGGCCTGGGCAGTGGCTGTTAGAGAACTTGCTAGCAGGTCACCAGGGCCTGATGGCAGCGGGGAGACAGCTGTTGCCTGTGGCTGAGCTGTGGAGTCCCTGGCCAGCCCAAGGCAGGGCTGTGGGCTCATTTCTTGTCTCCTCTGCTCATCCTGTCAGTCATGGGGAAAGGTAAGGAGCACCTCCATCACAATTACTGTCTATTTGGGTTTCCCCTGGGAGTAGTGAGCATTTGGGGAGGGACACCATGGCCTGTGCTGGATGGGGACACACACTGAAGAACATTTAGCATCCTTTCCTTCTCCCCTCAAATGCTCATAATACTCCAGATCCCAAAGATAAACAAAAACCATCTCCCACCATTCCCACAGGTCCCAAGGGAGTGGCACAGCTCTGGTGAGACCTAGTGGTCCTAGGCAACCTCCTTCTCCCAACTCCTTGCTATGGGATTGGGGCCCCAAAGCACACAGAGGCCACAGTGCCCTCTGCTTCCGGCCTGAGGGGCAATTGGGGCTGGGGGTGGCATTGTGGAGGCCACCCTCTCCTGGCTCACACCTCCTTGGTGAAGGGCTGGCTGTGTGTCCCCGAGGGTGGGGCTGCTGCTCAGGCCAGAGGGATGCACTTCTCCCTCTGCATCCGCCCAGCTCTTCTGAGCACCATCTGCTTGAAGGCTTTATTAATCTGTCCAGTTAAATGCAGCAGTCCCGCTGGACTGAGCTCTGCAGCCAGCTGCTTCTGGGTGAAGACTGGGAAGAAAGCAGTTCTGGCTATGCCAGCCTTCCCCGCTGGCTGTGCACTTGCTAAGGTGGAAAGTGAACTCTAGGCCCCACCAACCAGGGGAACTGAGGCAGGGGCCCAGGTGGTACATAGCCTGAAGAAACTCAGACTATCTGAAGACCCTCTGGTCCAAGTCCCTTGTTTGGGAAGCGAGGTGTCGAGGGCAGTGCCTGTTAGACCACTTGAGGGGTCTGGGCCCCAGATGTCCTGCCTTTTATGTCCCAGGATGCAGCAAACAGGCATCCAGGCGGGAAGTGGCAAGGTGGGTAGGATTGGACAGGGACCTCTGGTGGGTCAGGTGCTCTTCAGCCCCCTCCCCCAACTCCGAGTGTTGAGTCCCAGCTGAGGATAGAACAGGCCCACAGGATTGGCCTGGCTGGAGTGAGAGCTGGATGTGAGGATGGACACCCTCCTCGGAGAGCAGGCCAGTGCTGGGAGGAGGTCTCACCTAGGTGTGCTCTGGGAGGAGGATGGGGAAGAGCTTGTGGAGAAGGTGGCTTGTAGACTCCCTCCTTGAGCCTGGTAGGGTGGGGCACCCGTAATCTCGATGCTCTGAAAGCCTGCAACAGGAAGATCTTAAGCCCAGCATGGCCAACTTAATAAATTAGTAAAACCTTATTTCAAAAAATAAAAAAGGGCTGGGGATGTACTCAGTGCAAAGACCCTGGGTTCAATTCCCAGGACTGCATTTAAAAAAATTAACTGGCTCCCAGGCTCCTGGCCTTGGGTGCACATCAGACCCGCCAGGCAGCTCGTGGAGGAGTGTGCTCAGGCCAGTCCAAGCTGATTGGGTTGTCACAGGCACTGAAACATTGAAAAGCTCCACAGGGTTCTAGTGAGAAGCAGAAGTTGAGAATCCCTATGCTGGGCCGAAGGGATGGGCAGGTGTGTGGTACATGTGACTGGAGGGATGGATAGGAGGACACTCTGGGCCAAGGAACCAATAGGAACAAGAGGCCAGGAGGCAGGGATCTGGTCTCAGGGGCACTGAGTCATCCCTATCTGAGGGCCTGGGAGGCTGTGAGTGGGTAGGGGGCAGCAGGATTTGTGCGTCTCATGGGCCTGTCCACTGGAGCTCCTACCCTGTGAATCAGGGCTGGCCACACGTCACTCCTAAACCCTGAACTTTGGTGGGGGACCCAAAGCTTGTGGAAGATGCTCACTCATCCACTACTCATTCATTCATTCACCCATCCATGCCCTCCTCTGCTCGTGTTCTCCTTAGCCGCTCACCCTCTCCTTCTGTCTGAGTGCTGGAATCTGAGGTATCTTGGCTGGCTGGCTGGCTGGTGGAAGGCAAGGCAGTGGGCAGGGTGTGCAGAGTGGGACCCTATTTGCAGTGGGAGGGGTGGACACGGTGCTGGGGGTTGCAGTGGGAGAGCAAGAGCTTTCAGTGGGCAGAGTGAGTGCAGGTAGTTAGCCAGCAGGGGCCACTGCTGGGAGGAAGCATTAGGGCTTCTCACAGTGCTGACAGTCTCCAGGGTGTCTGTCTTCCACTAGATCTGAGTTCTGGGGAGTGTAGACCTCATTAGGCTGAGGGTCAGTCCCTGTGGGCCTACATGGAAAGGCTTTCTGGAAGAGTAGGTGAGGGCCAGGGGAGCAGATCTGGGCTCTAGAGGGCAGATGAGAGCCAAGGAAGGAGGCAGAGCCAGTTAGAGTGCGGATGGGCTGAGTGAAGGTGGGAAGTGGGAGCATGGGGCACAGATGGATCTGCCCTGTCCCAGAGCCCTGTTCCAAGCACTGCAGCTCAGTAAGAGTGAGGAGACGCTCCTCCCTCGGCTGTCCTCCTCCCTGGAGGGAAAGGTCAGACAGTGACGGAGGAAGACGTGGAAACGAGGCTGGGGAGAGGAGCCGGAGAGGAGGGCCTTGAGCGTGTGCCCAGAGGCCTGAGCTGAGCTCTTAACTGTGCAGAAGCTGAGGGGTGTTTGTTTTGTAAGGGCTGGGATAGCTCGTCTGTCTTACATGAGTTGACCTGTGTTCTAGTAAAGTCTCTGTACTCCCAAGAACTCAGATCTAGTAGGAGACAGACAGATGGCCATCGAGGCCCTCAGCACTGACCTGATGGGGAAGGAGAGGGGGCAGGACAGGGCAAGGGGAGCCCACTGGGGAGGCCCACCTGAGAAGGAAGTCCTGGGCCAATGGTCTGCATGCCCATCTCGCAGGCTGAGGTGGGAGGACCCTCCTCACATGTAGGAGGTACTTTTTCACGCTCAGGTTGTAGGACATTATTATCCCACTGTCAGACATTATGGGAGGCCTGAATTTCCCCTTGCACACCACTTGAGCCTCAGGCCTGCTCCTAGGGCCCTCCTCGACTGGAGTAGGGCCTCTTGGCTGCAGATTTAACCCACTTGTGAATTACAGGCAGTGACCCAGATCATTGCACGGAAGCTTATGGGAGCATTGTAAGATGCCCTTGCCTACGCCCCCCTCCCCAGTCTAATGTCTCCAGTATCTGGGTGGGGCTCCAAGCTGGTCTGTGTTAAAAGCTTACAGGTGATTCTAAAGTGCCGTCCAGGTTTCAGAAACACTGGTTTAGCAGAGAACAGCACCTGCCAGGACCCCATGGGATCTTGGGACTGAGAGCAGCCCCCATAGCACAGGTAAGCCAGGCTGGGGACTGCACCCCTGGCCATGATCAAACCTAGGAGCAGCAGGGACCAATAGGTGTGCATTATGCCCTTAACCTGTGCTCAGAGTGAACTTCGAAAGGCCGGCCCTCTTGCTGCCACTTTTCTCCCCCTACCCTGCCAGTGCTGTCCCTGAATACACACCTGCATAGGTGCTGGCCATAGGGCAGTGATGTCCCTGAAATACACTTGAACATGAACAAAGGAATCCCTCAACACCTTATTCCATGGCTCATGAGTGTGAACTCACAGCAGTGCTTTTACACACACACACACACACACACACACACACACACTTTCATTCTTTATTTAATGATGGAAATGTCTTCTGAGAACTGTGTCCCTGGATGATTTCCCTGTATGAACCTGAGAGTGCACTTACACAAACTGGATGATTGATCACTGGATGCAGCCTCCTGATGCAATTGAGAACACTGTAAACTCAAGATGTTGGAGGCTGCACACATGGCAGGCTGTGTTAAAGTACACCTTTTGTGTGTTAGTAGAAGAATGCTCTAGAATAATGATAAAAAGTGCAGTAAACACCTAAACCAGTAACCCAGTGGTTTATTTTCATGCTCAGTCTTCTGTATGTAGTTGTGCACTCTATGCTTTTATACTGTTAGCAGCACATTCGGTTTGTTTATGGCAGTGTCACCACGAACATGTGAGTTGTAATAGCTGTGGCAACACTGGGTGATAGGAGCTTTCCAGCCCATTATAATCTCATGGAACCCCCGTGGGGTGTGTAGCTGGTCAGGGACAGAAGCATCACTCTGTAGTACATGGGTGAATATAGCTTTTCTGTATTTTTACCTATTTGTGCATTCTATTTATATGTAAATGTTTTATATTTTTATGCACACATATGTACAGTGTGTCCTCACAATCTCTTAAGTCTGGGAAAGTGAATTCGGGAACAGGAACCTTGGCTGTTTAGGGGTAAAGGGTATGTGTGGCCCAGTGCATGAGTCCCTCAGATCCCAGGTCCTTACTGATGTCTAGAAACAGCATGGGGTGGTCATGCATATATGGTGGCCTCTGTGGCAGAAGCTCCTGGAGCCAGGATGTGGTCCTTTGTGGGGTCCTGCATTGAGGAGATGGAGGAAGGAGAACTGTGGGTGACCATGGCAGGAGCAGGAGAGAGATTTGGAGAACAGATGGGAAAGCTGGCTATTGCTGTGTTGAGACTTTTCCAGGCCCTAAGCAGATCTCTGCACCTTCACTGTAAAGGGAGAGGCCTCGAGGAGGGAACCACTCCAAGGTTGGGCTTCTCAGTGGCACGGGGGCTGACCAGGAACCAGTCTGTGTGAAGGGACTCTTGCTCTAAGGAACTGATTCCCTGTAGGGCTTGTTGCCAGT